ATAAGAGAATACAAGGAAGAGAACAAGGAGAGGCTTATACTTAATCAGGAAGACTTAAGAGGAGGCATACTTAATATCAGGGACAGGTCAAGGAGGCTTTTACTGATATCAGGAAGGGCAAATAGGAGGAGGCTCTTAATAGAGGAGGCAAACAAGGAGGAGGCTTATACTTAAATCAGGAAGAGGCAAACAAGGGGAAATTAAAAAGAAAGAGGCAAACAAGGAGGAGGCTTATCTGATAACAAATAGGCAAAATTTGAAGGAGGTATGCTTAATATCAGGAAGAGGCAAAACATCAGGAGGACCATGCTGCAAACAAAGAGGAGGTTATACTTGGAGAGGATGAGGCAAACAAGGAGGAGGCTTATACTTAAACATAGGAAGAAGATATTTGAGGACTATCAATATAAAGAGGCAAACAAGGAGGAGCAATGATGATATTCAAGGTCTTATCAGGAATCTTATACTTAGTGAGGAGGAGGCTTATAGGGAGGCTTAATTTAAGGGAAGAGGCAGGACAAGGCTGGACAGAGATTGTGAGCAAATTGGGAAGGCTGTTGAATAGGATGCAAACAAGGAGGAGGCTTTATACTTTTGATTTTGAATTCAGGCCCAGTAAAGCAGAACATCCTGATGATTTACAATGAGCAATGATGGGGAGAATTAAGATGATGCAAACAAGGTGTTTTTATAGGAAGGTAATTGTAAGGGGAAAGGCAGGAATATGGTCTGAGTATGAGCAACGATGAGGTCTTTGAGAGGATGCAAACAAAAAGGAAGCTTATACTTTGCATAAGGAAGAGGCAGCATCGCATTCACCATACATAATGAGAAAAATGAAAACTTGGAGAAACAATACCGCCGGTGAAGGCATTAAAGGAACATTTATGAAAGGCAGGATGTCATGGACATTAAAACTTTTAGCAAAGATGAGGTCTTTTTCGACGATGCAAAACAAGGAGAAACCTTTTTAAAACAACATAAAGGAAGAGGCAGGACATTTTTTTATTTATGTGAGCAAAGATGAGGTCTTCAAAAGGAAAGAAATTAGGATTGAATATAATTACATAAAGGAATCATATTTTCATGGACCGTTCATATAAGAAACGATTAGGTTTTATTTGATGAAACAATGAAAGGGCATATACTTAACATAAGGAAGAGGCAGGACATTTCTACAAACATGTGAGCAAATTGTGAGGTCTTGGATAGGATGCAAACAAGGAGAAGGCTTTATACTTAACATATTAAGAGGCAGACATCATAACCATGTTTGAGCAAAGATGTGGTCTTGGAGAGGATGCAAATAAGGAGAAGACTTATAAGAATAATTTACAGAAGAGGCAGGACATTTCAAACCGAGCATAAAGAAACGATTAGGTCTTTGAGAGGATGCAAAAAATGAACAGGGCTTATACTTAACATAAAGAAGAGGCAGGACATAACATGGTCCAAGCATTGAGCAATGATTCGGTCTTGAAAGATGAAACTTAGACGTCTTTCGACGTTTACATCAGGAAGGGGCAGCTGATGTTTCTGGGACACATAATGAAGAAGAAGAACTTGGTGAATTTTATACTCACTGACCGAATACAGGGAATATGAGGGCAAGGAAAACAACGGTTCATACCTAGCAAAATAAGAGCAAATGTATGACAAAATGCCTAGGGGAGGTTTGAAAGACAAGGAAACTGTTGAGAGCAAATCTTTGATTCCGTTGTAAAATTGTAACCTGAATTTGTTATACTTTTATCAACACACTGTGTATGATTCCTGGATCGACCGACTGCAGCCACATTAGAATTGAAGGGGAGAAGAATGAATTTTTTTTATTTTGTTATTCCATGTCATATATATTATTTGGGCGCGTGGCCGAGTGGTGAGAATGTTCGTATTTTGACCATGAGATTAATTTTCTTTATTTCACCCTTTTTTATTTGATGTTATCGAGACTTAAAGAATTTTCCATGCGACAATTTTGGAAAGTGCCTGAATGGTTAACGGGTTGAAAAGCCTTCCAGTGAATTTGTGTGGACGGAATTCTATGGTTAAATTGAATAGCTGAAACCATGCACAGATCCTGATAAAATCGTGATTTTTTTTCTTTGTTTTATGCTCGCCTTTGTTCAGATTGTTGATCCAATTTGTTTTCCGTGATCTTCGTTTATACTGCAAAATTAATTTCACGAATCAGTCCATATATACCCTCTAATCATGTTTTTCATTATACGATCCTTGGTAGCGGCGTTTACAGTCTAGTATATCCTCCATTTTGTCGGCTGGGGCATTAGAATACACCTTGAAGATTGGTAGGACCCCCCAAAAAAAAAAAATGAGGAGTCCTGGGTTGAAGGATAAAAACCCAAAATCTGGGCAAGATTTTAATCTACGTCCAACAACAAAGCCTTTGATCAGGAGCTTTGGGGGTGCGTAAAACTAAAATCAATTATTGGTGCTGAAAATAGGTCCACCCTATGTCGGAGTGGTAGCACCTGTTAATTTCCTTAGATTATGGGCAATATTTAAAATAAAATCAAATATTGGAGTCAAAACACTATGAAAATATAGAAACAGATTTTAATGCCAGCAATGAAATTTTTGAAGAAAAAATATTACCATACATTTATAAAAATCTTGTTCATTAAATAATTTTTTTGAGGTTGTTATGCTGAGTGGAGAAACCAAACCAAGCCAAACCAATATATGGGTTAGATAGATAGATAGATAAATAGATAGATGAGATAGATAGACAGATAAATAAAAAATATTACCATCAATAAAAATCTTGTCGGCATTAAATAACCCATTGAGGTAACCACATGATAACAAAAGTAAACCAATATATATATATATATATATATATATATATATATATATATAGATAGATAGATATACATAAATAATTAGATAGATTTATAGATAGATAAAAAAATATTTTCTAGTAATTTAAAATAAAATCGGCATTAAATAATCCATTATATTGATATGCCGTAAAACAAACCAAACCAAACCAAACCAATATATCCTTTTGGTAGGAACATTGCCTTATCTTCCTCAGAATTTTATGCCTTTTTTTTTTTAATTTATCAAGATGAGCGTCAAGTATGTGGATTTTGCAGCCTATTTGTCGTAGTTTTTCACCAGAGTCTCAACAATCTTTTCGTTTTTTAGATGAATCCAGGAAAAATAGAACTGTGTCAACCTTAGACGAATGCCTGTCGTCGACGGCTTGTCTGCTACTCTGGACAGCTAGAAATAAAATAAACTGTTGAATTTATTTTTGCCTATTTATATTGTTTTTCTAGAAATTTATTTAAACTTTTGTGAAATATTTTATATAGAGTTCTATAAAACTGATAGAAAATTTAATTCAGCAATTTATGCGCTGAAACTGTCTGGAATGTTATGGAAAATATAGAAATAAAAATCATGATGTTTAATTGACAAAAAGAAAGTTTGTAAGGAATAAACCTCGACCCCTTTGTTTCTAAACAGAAGGCAATTATGGAATTAATATTTA